TAAGGCACCTTCTGATTGGTTTAATAAAGAGTTGAATGGCCAATAGCTAGGCAGGATTTCCAGGGAAAGAGAGGAGCTCTGGGAGGAAGAGAGGTGGGAGACACTAGGGAGACACTGGCAGGAAGTCAGACTTATAAAATGGAGGTGAGAAGTCACATGGCAGAACCTAGATGAATAAAAAGGAACAAGCCTAAGTTAAAGCCAAACTTTCATAATTAGTAAGTCTCCATGTCTTTATTTGGGAGGGGGTTGACGATCCAAGAAAGTCTGACAAACAAAAAGACCTGCTACAATTTGTGTCCAATGTACATGTAAATCCACATAAGACCTGAGAAAGTTGCAAAAAGTTCTAAACATGGAACCAGACACGGTTTTGCAATAACTGCATATTCACATGCAGTCTTGCTGCTTGGAGGCATACAGAGGCATGGCTTCTTTAGGAGGCTTTGCTGTTCAGCTGTGCATTTGAGCTGTCAGCTTGCTACTTGATGCTAGGTAACTCAGACTCAGCAAATTCGCAGAGCTGGGACAGTTTGGTGTGGCTGGCACAGTTAGGTCAAGTGCTATCAGGGTCAGTCACCAGCACCGTGTGCTAGTGGAGCCAGGCAGTGGGTGTTCTAAGATTTGTCTCCCATGGTCAGAGACTGCATAGGTGCATGGCTGCAGACATGCAAAGTCAGGCCCAAGCAGAAAGAAACCTCTTAAATAGAATGCTTAAAAATGTGCTTAGGTGCTGAAGAAACGGGTAAGACAGTCACAGAAAGTTTCAAAATAATATAGTCGTTTAAGAGAAAGTAAAGTAAGGATGAGAAATACACAGGGCATCTGGATCCTCTTTGGTGCTTTGTTGACTTTGAAGTTTTGAAATGCTAATGAACAAAAACCCAGCATCTGCTGATACTGGATTGTGGGGAAAACTGCTGTATTAAACCAACCTATGTATTTTAAGCAAGTCCTAAATTTAGAAAGGAAGTCTGAAAACGTGTTGCATTGGGGGAGATGTATAGAAGGTTAGAGGCATAAAAGCTTAAGTTGTTTATCTAAGAAAATAAGGTTTAAAGATATTTTTAGGTTGTAATACAAATTACAATAAAGTGGTTTAGGTATAAAACTTTGGAATCAAGATAGGATAGATAAGTTCTTCAAATTTGCCAAATACAAATCAGCCATTGTAATTTTTTTCTGATAACTGTTCTTATTATAGTTTTTACTGTGTTGGAGTTAAAAAATGTTCCTTTTTATTTAGAGAAATTAAGGAAATGTTGTAGAATTGTCTTATACACTGTAAAAATATGTCTCTGCCTAAAGCACTTTCTGATTGGTTTATTAGTTTTGTTGAATGGCCAATAGCTAGGCAGGAGAGATTAGGAGAGATTTCCAGGGAGAGAGGAACTCTGGGAAGAGAAGTGGGAGATGCCATTGAGACACTGAGGAAGTCAGATGTACAGAATGAAGGAGCTAAAAAACCATGTGGCAGAATTTAAGGTACAGAAACAGGACAATTTAAGTTGAGCTAGTTAGGAACACACCTAAGCTAAAAGTCAAGCATTAATAATTAATAGTTTCCCTGATTCCAACAAAAAAAGACCTGCTATAGTCTGCTGTCTTTGCAACCTTTCTGTTGTATGGGTTTGGAGTATTTCCCATTATCTTTATATTTAGTTCCAATGTTTGTATTTGTAAGGAGAGTACTAACATCTAATGCATAGCCCAGAAATGTTATATATAGGCATTATTTTCACACAAGTATGCACAACTGTCAATGATCTGGATTGGACACACACAGTTGATATATAAAACTTGAATTCAGTCACCAATCATTGCCTTGACTCAGAGTAATCACTGATTTCTGTTGGAGTAGCTAAAATATGGTCTTGATTTTTACGCAAATTCCTATGGTAAGTATGGTCTGGACACAGTCTGCTACTAGGTATGTTGTCGGCTCTAAAGAATCTATAACCACTCGGGTTAACAGTCCTTTTGGATGTCTACTGGAGATTAACCTGATTACAGCAACTGTTAGGCAGACTCATCCTAATTATGGACGGGACAATTTGCTAAGCCAGGAATTCTCAAGAAAGGGAACTAAGTAGCAGCATCATGCCCTGTGGCTTTTTGTTCATTCTCTGCTTTGAGTAGTTTTGAGTAGTTTCCATGAAACTACTGTTAAAAGTCTGTATTCCTTAATAAGTACTTGGGATAGTGTATAGGTCATTTTGCAGTGTTCTTCAGTGACTCAGGCCAGATCAGCTGGTGGTAGTTTTCTTAAGTCTTCTGTCATTTTCTACTTAATGACATCAAAAAGAAATCTGTATTTACCTTACCTTGTTGTAGCTAGCTTTTGCTTTATGTTCTGAAGGTAAAGATGTGTACCATGAAATGCCCTTCAATTCATTGATCTTTTATTATTCACAACTTCCAAATACACTTCAGAAGCTAACTCACTTTTCTCTTTCCTCTTAATTAGAACCCATTTCCATACAGTTTAGCAGACAGGCACAACTTTTCATTAACTGGGGTGTTTGCATCACTACCAATACTGTTTGGCTTTACCCATAATACGTTTCCCTGCAGTTCTTCTTTTCAGAGTATGCAGGATTACCTTTCTCATCCACAGGTTCATTACCTTTTGATTCCATTTTGAGGCCGATTTGGGGCTCAGTGTAAATTAGCTTACATTCAAGATGAGCTGGATCACAGTACCATACAGCCAAAGTACAAAGCTTGCAAAAGCATATTGCAGCTTCTCCCTTCCTCAATGGCATGTTGCATACTTTACTAGTACATGAGACCCACCAGACTATGCTTGCTAAACATTAAGTGTATTTATATTGTCTTATGCCATGAAAACTCTATGACAAAAAAATATTTTTTTCATAGGCTTTTTCAGAGACATGGTGAATTCTTTTAGCTCTTTAATAGTAGGTTAGTACCACATCTATACTGTATTTTAAGTTGCACGCTTGGCTTGCCTTGCATCTGCTTAGCTATTATCCTCTTTAAAGACCATCTTTCTCTATTGCTGGCTTCATTACACTTTTATTATTCCACTAGCGACACTGGATACTAACTTGTCCAGTAGCTTGGGAGCACTTATCCTGGTATCTTTCATTGTCTTACAAAGTTACACATAGCAACTATTGTATCTGCAGGCAGCAGGGTCCAAACTCCTAACACACGTATCAGGCAAGGCTTCTTTGAAGCAGTCTCCCAACTCCACTGCTACAGGTCCCACTCACCCTTTGACAATTCTTCCACCTACTTCCTTTCCGCTGGAAAAGCGACACATCAATGGACACATAGGCCAACTTGAAAGAATTCTCAATGACCAAATATAAAACGAGTAACAAGTGTAGGCACGTGAAGAGATGAGTACATGGAAAAAGTCTGAATAACACCTCCAACAAGAGGTACATTTTGCCATTTCTTTACTGGTTAAGTACACTTATTTAAGAATGCTAAGGGAAAGGATCAAAATGCCCTAACTAAATGCCGAGGTTAACATTCCCAGGGAATGTAGGCTTCATGGACCAGAAGGGAATGCCTTCCCTGTGGTGTTCTTTTAAACCTAAAGCCCTAGTTCATAGGGAGAAAAACAAGCCTAACCCAGTGGGAGTAGGAAATAGTTATATGTGGTGGTTTGAATAAAAATGGCCCCCACAGATTTGCAGGGAATGGAATTATTGGAACCATGGCCTTGTTGGAATTGTCATCAGCACGGGCTTTGAGATTTCAGCCACTAAAGTCAGGCCTAGTGTCTGTTACCTGAGGATTCATTCATTTGTAGAACACTTGGCTTCTTCTCCAGCACCATATCTGCCCCCACACTGCCATGCTCCCTAACACGATGACAATGGATTAAACCTCTTAATTATAAGATAGCCCCAACTAAATGTTTTCCTTTTTAAGAGTTGTAGTCATGGTAATTCTTCACAGAAATCCCTCAAACTGTCATCAATGACAAACTACCAGCTAGAGAATAAGAAGGCAATATAATTTCACTTGTGAAGCTGAGGCAGGAGCACATGGAGTCTGTCTGGCCACATAGCAACTGTCTTCAAAAAACAAAGCCAGGATTTCATGTTAGCCCAGGGTGCACTGGCTCATTTTTCTTGTCAACTTGATATAATACAGTGTCACCTGGTAAGAGGTCACCTCAGTTTGAAGAACTGCCAGATCTGTATTGCCTATGGTCATGTCTATGAGAGACAACTTTAGTTGATGACTGATGTGAAGGGCCCAGACCACTAGGGATGGCACTATCTCTGAGCAAGCAGACCTAGGGTATATAAGAAAGCTAGCTGAGCACAGGGCCAGTGAGTAGACCGATAGCAAGCAATTCTGCCTTTGGGTTACTGCCCTCCCTCCTAAGTTGCTTTTGTTCAGAATGTTTTATCACTGCAACTGAGATTAAACTAAAATTGGGAGCCATTTTTCTTCAGCAAGCTAGTTGTTGGTAGGCTGAACCATGCTCATGCAGCAGTGACTGGGCTGTGGGTTATTTTTAAGAGAAGGCATGAACTTCCAGGTCAATAAAACCATGATGGCATTCTTATTTTAAAACATTTAACACCTGGGTCAAAAAAAAAAAAAAAAAAAACAAAACCCAACAAAATCTAGGAAGCAGAGGCCTCCTTATCCTCTACCAGACTCTGCAATAGTGGTCCTGAGCACCAGGCAACCAGGAGAAACAAACTGGCAGTAAGCACCCAATCATCTTCCCACCTGTGAATAGATGGCCTTGTGCTGACAGCTTGTTCTGAATTACACTGTTGAATGGTAATTCTAGGACACTGATATTCTCTAACTGACCCCAGAAAGTGAAATCTGCAGTGTCCTGGTAGTAAGCAAACACAGATGCAGATTCTGAGTAACATCCCTAAGCTGTTACCATGTTTGTTATGTCTGAAAGCAAGGATGATAAAGTGATCAGAAAAAAGCATAAACAATTAACACAAGAAAAACCACTATGATCTTAGAAGTGAACATTCAACCAGAGCTTAAAATTTTCTAGTTTATTTCTAATAACCAACACTTGATGCTTGACTCACAGATTTTATTTACATTTGTCTACAGTGTCATTTCCTTATGAAATGAACTAGTACAGCTCAATTAAACCAAATCAAATCATAATCATCTGAACTGTTTGTAAACTTCTATTAGCTAAATTTATAATCTTGTATTTGCCTAGTACAGCCCAAGTGTTAAATACAGAAAGCACAAGAACAAACGAAGGCTAACACGTTGGATCTAGAAGATCTGGGCAACTGAGAAAGTCGACTTTTGAGAAGTCTGAGGCACAATCACAAGAGAGTAAGAGCTCGTGTGCAACCTACAGTAAATGCAGCAAGGAAAATAAGACAACACAGGAAAGCTTGTAAAAATATTACGAAAATATTTCTACATACGATATTCTGTTTTTATCTTTAGATCAATTGAGGTGAAAAACACTCACTTTAAAATAAAAACATTTTGTTTGATCTGTCTCTGAACATCCTAGAATGCTTTACTTATTTAAACTGCAGCAGACAATACTAAGAAGGGAGAAACAGGAACCACAGTTCCTCTAACAAGGAGCTCCAACACAACTGCTGGTCCCTTGTATACTTACCTTGTTTTGCTGCGGGAGAGACTGTTAGGAGAAACCTTTCAACTTTTAAACCAGAGAACAAAATGGATCTCAAGTGACTAGATTTTAATTTTAGAAATAAAACTCTGAAAGCATTTTAAGCCATATGTTTTTTCAGGTGAGAAAAAAAAAAGACTTTCCTTAAATGATGCAGAAATAAGGATTCTGTTACTTAGATATCTACAGTGTTGGAAAAAAAAAATCAGACATCTCAAGGCAAATCATTTAAATTCGCGTCTCTGTCAGCCTGTCACTGAGAAATAGGCTTCAAAAGCTTTCTTCAATTTGCTCATTAACTATGATTTGGCCTTTTTTAAACCTTTATCAATCAAGCACAATGTTTGTTAACTAGATTTTAAAAACACCTATCCTCTCGCGTTAGAAGTGGCGCAGAGCTGCTGAGACAGGGATTCTAAGGCACCCTCAGTAGAGAGAACGCAAAGTTCCCGGTTGTCAGCTTTGTGATGTCGTTAATTTCTGGTAAGAAATTACTAGCACAAGTAAACATAACCAGGTTGACCACTCCTCCCATATGAACATGAATTGGTTATTCCAACAAGTTTATTAGCCTTGCCCACGTGTCTGGAGTCCAGGCAAGCCCAGACAACCCTGTCTCAGTCAATAGGACATTTAGAAATGAAATGGACAAAGAAACCAAGGACTCAGTTACAGCTGTCTTTAAACGAAGCGAATGGTTGTAATAATGAATAGAGAGCATTTGTCTGGGGAACAGTATGGCTTAAAATGCAATTTACTTCAATTTCACAAATAAACACAGTTGTACTGTTTTGAAAAGCAATAAAGGCATGCACCTCTACTAGCAAATGTAGTAGCACTTCTGACCAAATGAGACATCAACTTCCTAAAAAATATGCTTCATGCACTGTATTCAATGTTTTTAAAGATGTAAATTTTAATACATTATTTCTTTTTTGAACTTGACCGGGAACCAGAATGGGTTGATCCAGAAGACGACCTGTGGTGCCTGTAAGACACAAGAGAGCAGCACAATCTGTAAACAGCACTGAGCCGAGCAAACACCAGAAAAGAGCAGAGCAAACACTAGGTATCTCGATGCTGGCAGGAGTAATTAAACCTAGGACGGCTGATATACACTTTTGGAAGTGAGCCCAGAATCGATGTGATTTTAACTCAAACTCCCTACAAGTTAAGAATAAACACTCATTTCAAATATAGCCACCTCTCAATTATTCCAGGAACGAAGGGGAAGCCCTGAAAAAAGCCTGCAATCATACACATGTACAAGAAAGGCGTATAATAAAATCACACCAGGTCTCTATGCACACAGCAGGTTTCTGGTGTATGAGAAGGTACACTCAAAGCAGTGAGGTTTTGGAAGTCTAGATCACATAAGGTGACTGTAGAGTTAGCTAAGTGCTAGAGTCATGCAGCCAATATGAGTAAGTCAGTATCAACCTGGGCAAAGTGGTGGTGGTCCGCAGGGGCTGGCCCTGGGCTCAGGGTTGTTTAATGTTTTCACCAATCACCTGGCTTATGGAATAGAGAACATGTGAATTAAGTTTAGATGACAACAATGGGGGTTTATATGTGGCTAAGATAAAAATTTGCAGAAGTGGTAAGAAGGCATCAGAATGAATTTCACTTAAGTACACAGTAATTTTCTTATAAAGAAACAATGTACAGAAAGAAGACTGGGCATAATCTTGAAGTCCGGGTACCAAGGATATCTAACTCTTTGAGAGCAGGAATAACATGATCCCTACCCACTGACCCTGGCCGTCACCAGACTCTATTGATCATTCTTTTCTTTCACAAGCTGAGAAGATATGGAAAATTTGCTAAGATTACAAATGCAGCTACAAATCATAAGATATTGAGAACAAGAGAAAATTAGTGAAACCGAGTAATCAACTCTGTTGCAGGCTGACTACGCTCATGACAAGTGCATTGTAGGTACAGGCACCCAGTGAAAGTCCTTTTCAAGAGAAAAAATAGATCTGGACGGCAAGAAGAAAGAGGTGCTAACTACAAGGAGTAATTTCCAAGGGCATAAGAGTCACTTGCTATGGAAACACACTTATTTGTATTTAAATGAGGATAGATTCCAATGATCTTGCAAGTTAATCCTGATTAGGTCCCCTAGAATCCCTACCATTTTGAGTATTTAATTTAAAAAACAAACACATAAGTTATTTCAACACACAGCTTTTGGATTTCAACACAAAAATAACCGAGAGTTGGCTATAATAATATATACATGGAAATAAAAATTCAAACAATAAAATGCTCAGTGAACAGTCTGTCCCATAAGTTTTTCTAAAGTTATTAACAAGCTAAACAAAGTAATTTGATTTCTGAAGTTTAAAGATGAAAAATATAAAGAACAAAGGAGAAAGAAACCTAACCCTAGAAAGTCCATCTACTCAATACATGTAAGAACACCCATTCTTATGCTACAGAAACCCAAACCTTTCGGGTGACCGTGATCTCGTTCGTCTTTTTTTGCGAACGGCGGGTGAAGAAGGTCTAGAGCGACTCCTCTTCCTGTCTCTCTCAGGAGATGATGAAGAACTCGAGTAAGATCTTTTTCTTGGGGAGGAAGAGCCCCTGTGGGACCTGGAGCTGGATCTTCATTGATTGAGAGACAAAGCAGACGTTTCATTAAGGGCAGAAGTGCAGACTGTCCAGTTCCCAAAAGCAAACAGGACTGTGACTATGAGAGCTTTGTAAGAAGGAATACTTACTGCTTACTCAGCAGAAGACTTCTGGGTCAACCTTCAACATGTTCTATTTATGCACAACCATTTTATCTTTAAAAAAATTCTAAATATTTACCCCTTGTAATTAAAAAGCAGCTTACGGAATTATGACAGAATAATTTTATAATTGCTTATAGCTTTACAACTTAAAATATATAATTAGTGAAATCAAGACATAAGTTCAATTCTGTGACTTCATGGTCAGAAATTAGATCCTTCCATTTTGGGAAAATCCACACTATATAAAATCTACTGAGGACAATGAACTTAACTTCTTACAGGTAAGGTGCAGCAGAGAACCCAGGGACACAGCCCAGAAAGACAGAACACTATGTTGTAAGTAGTCAAAGAAAATGGCAGCTTTAAAACTTGGTTTGTGCTTAGATCTGTGCCATGAAACATGAAGTTGTGACATTCACGTTTTAGGTGGAAGTAGATGTAAAAATTTTAAATGCAAATCTATGTTCATTTACATACTGTGGTTGAAGGAATTTAGCTCAAACTTCCCAAAAAATTCACCTTTGGGCTTAAAACAAAATGAGAAAGCCCAAAAGGAGAATTCTTTGGAAAGTTGTAAGCAATTACAATGTTTGGGAAGGATATGGAGGGACCCACCGAGACTCAAGGGTCTGAAGGAAGCCCCGACATGTCAAGACACATAGGAAAGCACCTTTGCTCTACTGCACTGGCTCAGTGAGGGCACGCACCACTCTCCTCCTCAGTGGGACTCAACGGTAGTTGCCCTCAAACGCTAGAATGGACTCAAGTAAGTGAACCTTTCTCCAGAAGAGCTGTTAGGAAACTTCAATGTCAATTCCCACAAGTGGGATTTTAGAGGCTTTCGTGTTAATGCTGCGTGCCTGCAGTAGACAACAATACAGTGACTTAACATAAAGGCAGCATATTTTGATGAAGTACAGAAAATGTTTTCAAGAAAGCAAAAAACTAGCGTTTCAATTGCTTCTTTACCAATCATTTCCCTTTGATATCTGAATAAACACAACTGAAATGTTTACAGCACGGCTTCTATCACATATGAGCTAACATCCTATTTGACTTAAGTTTTAAGAGGGATGATTGTTACACAGATAACTTACAACAGTCTTTAAAGTCAGGGAGACACTCAGTAGAAACCGAGATAAAAATGGCAAAGCTGTTTCTGTAAACAGCTGCCTGTAAAAAATCTATTCTAAAAACTGCATACCGGACTGGTCTTCCTTTTTTGTTTTGGCAATAATGCATCATTTGTATGTCAAATTAAATAACGACTGCAAACACAATCTTACACTAGCTACCTGGTGGAGTAACTTGGCCTCACCTCCCCACATTACACATCTTGGCTATGGATGTCCTTGCACACACTATGAGGTGAGACTGAGCCCAGGCAAGGGCACCAGCTTTCTAGTGCTAAAATACAACTGCAAATAGAAGCCGTGATGAGGGAAAGCAGCAGAGCCTTCGGGAGCCTTAAGTACTTTCCTCTCTGCCTTACAGAGAGGGGCTACCTCATTCACCTTGATTTCGAACCACGGGATCTGGAATGTTCTCTGGAACCGGAGTGAGACCTTGACTGCGAGCTGGAAGAGCTTCTTGAACGGGACCTGGAACAACATGGAAGCATTTTTTTCCCTAGGACCACATTTTTGAGCTCTGTGATATGAACACTGAAAAAAAGACATATTAAAAGTGCATTTTTTCACATAAAAGATATCTATGCAAGATATTTTTCCAAGCAAAATACTCAAAACAAGGTTTCTTATATTAAAGATTAAGCTTAAAACAAAACAAAACAAAACACAGTGCGACTTTCTGCACCAGATTAAATCTAAGGCTCCTAGACTGTAAGCAAATAGCAGCACGGGCTCACAATGCCACAGTTCACAATGGAGTTCTCCAGTGCTCAGAGGCCGGAAACACTACTGCTGCAGCACACCTCTGACGGCTACTCTTCACCTGTTTGTCTTAGAGAATTAAAGATAACAAACCTAGCAGTGCTCTACAGTAATTACATTACTGGCAAGAGCGAAGCCCAGGAAATATAAGATTTATACTCTGAAAACCACAAGTGACATCTCTGACACCATCTTTAGTTTGTCCCCACAAATGGGAACTGTCACACTTTTATTTCAAAATTATTCTGTTTTAAGGAAAGGGAAGGATTTGAGTTGAGCCTAGGGCCCCATACATGCTAGATAAAGCTGTATCACTGATGTATACTCCCCAGCCTTCAAAATTACTCAAATAATATCGTTAGGCTGTATAGTACTAATTTAAGTAGTTGGTAACACATTTTATTCTTACATATGTTTAAAAATAATTAGCCATTAATTCTGAACTGTATAATACACCATTTTTTTTATTACTAAATACATATTTACAACAACCTAACAGCCTGCTTTAATTTCTGGTTACTTGAGAAGCATTAAGTACCCAATGGCTAGATTTCTTCCTTTATTCAGAAGAATACCAAAATAAATTATCAGAAATTTTGCAAGTGTCATTAATGGCCAGATATCTCCAACTAAACCTCTAACATACTGAAACAAATATCCACTTGATAATGTCTGAAAATATGCTATCTACTTAAGTATATATCACTTACACAGTGCTTTTGAACTTAAGTTATTCTAGTCAAAGCCAAGAGGGTGACACAGAACAAGCAACTTCTAAGATTTGAAATTTCTGAAAATACAGGACAGTATCTGTAGGGTACAAAGATAAAGTCTAGCTAAGGTGACTTGACTGAAATATTTAAAATAAAAGGCGTATTTAAGTAAAATAAGGTTTATAAGTAGAAAGTTAGATACTGACATTTTGACTGGTGTTACCCTTGGCCTGCACCCGTTTACCTGGACCTGGACCTTGAACTTGAGGGGGAGGATGAGCGTGATGAAGATCTCGAGTGAGATGATCGAGACTTTGAGCGACTCCGCCTACTGGCTTTCTTTTTGTTACTGTCTTCTTCTTCACTGGCATCAAGATTATATTTTGAGAGATCAGCATCATCTTCATCCTCATCCTAATAAAATTTTAATTCTATTTAGATATTTACATATGGATGATACCCACCAAAATAGACGAATCTCCATTATACAGGACATTATCAGATGGATCTGTTACCAAATGCTTCAATGTAAACTTGTTTTCCATCTGAGGGTTCACCCACTAAACTCATTTGATAGAACCGACTTGAGAACTGGGCAGACAGTCTAGGCAAGATCCTAGAAGCTACCCCACTGGCTCTTAGAACATTTAACAAACTGTCAGCAATTTTTAATTTTGGCTTGAGTTCTTGGTCCACCACTACCAGCCTTAGTCTGGAACACCATTTTCTCATCTCTCTGCTACAATAACAATTTGCTTGGTTCTGTGCCACTAACACTTCAAGGTGCTAATCACATTGAAAAATAGGCACCCACTCTTCCATCAGCTTGGCTTAGAAGACTAAAAGATTTAATATAATAAAGAGATAAACACGTACCATTTGTTTCTTAAAACACACACACACAAACAAACCCCTTACATTCTAAGGTCTTAAGATAGCTGGACCATAAACTCATACTATGGCTCACTCCTTAACTCTTTACCTCAACCCCCCCCCCCCCCCCCCCAGGTCTTAAGATAGCTGGACCATAAACTCATACTATGGCTCACTCCTTAACTCTTTACCTCAACCCCCCCCCCCCCCAACAAGATAGTGCTGCAATGGTCCAGGTGTCACCTGAGCTTCAGAACAGTTCCAGTAAGATAAAGGGGAATGAGGGCAGGGTCGTTACCTCATCCAGCTTATACTTAGACAGATCTTCATCCTCATCCTCTTCTTCTCCCTCTGATTCTTTATCTTCGACTTCCTTTAATATAGATGCAGGACCAACTGCCTTCCCCCTGTATTTTTTCTTTTTACGTCCAAACTAGAGAAAAACAAAAAAATATTTCTTTAGGCTGAAACACAGGAAAATCATTTTATTTTCTAACACTATTTGTGTCCATGTGGAAAGACAGACGTTGAAACTTGAGCCTTTAAGTCCCTGACTTGCAGGTAGAGATGGAGGATCCCTTACTGGCCAGCCAAACCAGCCAACAGTTAAGTTCTAGGCTCAATGAGAGAACCTGTCTCCAAAAACAAGGTAAAGATACCAAGAGGAAGATGTCCAGTATCAACCTACAGCTTCTACAGATGCACAAATAAGGGCACATACACGGCTACTAAAAGGCACTCGTGCAAGAGCACATGTGCGCACACATACACAAACACAACTCTTCTGAATTCCAGGTTATTCTATCTATTTTTTATCATTTCTCTAACATAAAATGTAGTTTGTATACAGCTATTGAGAGCTTACCTCATCATACTCCCCATCGGATTCTTCTCTTTCTATATATTCAACATTTTCTCTTTCATTAAAACCACCTCCATATCCTTTAAAAAGAGGGCATAAACTGCTGTAACAACTCAAATAACAAAATTTGTATGCTCATACTATTAGATGAAAATCTAATCAATGGTAGAACTTGCAGAAGGAAAAGCTGCCTCTGGAAGTTAAGAGGTGGAACCCCAGGAAAGAAGAAAAAACCAGTGAATGTTATGTAGTAAGTGTCTTACATATTAAGAATTAAAAACAAACAAGCAAGCAAAGTGAGGAAAGAAAAGCTGGAAGGACTTGAATAAACCAAGTGTGGTGGTTCATGCTGGTAATAGGTAGCACACAGGAGGGTGAGGCCAAAGCTATTCCTGGTTATACACTAAGTCTGAGCCCAGCTAAGGCTACATAAACAGAACACAACAAAGCAAAGAGAAGACAGATTCCTTTTTCTCCCCTGTGCTCTCTTGAGAAGGTAGTAACTTCCTTTAGAAATTGCAATTAGAACGTGGCTCTATTTACCTGTTCTTTCTTCTAGCTTAGCATACTTTGGAGTATTACACATGTTACACTCCGATCTTCTGGCCCAATTCACATTACTGCAACTACAATTGTAAAAAATAAAATAAAATCAGAAGGCTCCCAAACATTGAAGAAATATTAAAAGAAATAACCAGTACCAAGCAATGTTCATAAGAAGTAATGAAAATTAAACAAAATACAACTTTGTTCTAGAGAACATGGATTCCCAGAACAGCCTGAAGTATGTAGGCAGAGAACAAAACCTATTCAATATAAATAATAGTTCGAGAAGTGACATAACTAGAGATTCGGCTACCTAGGGGAAAAACACTACTTTAATTAAAGATCCCATTATTTATCATCTCTGAATCCACCTTTCAAATATGGCTACCTTCTTATTCCCCTCTAAGGACCCCTTTGGAGTACACTAAATCCTCTGACTTACATTTGTTGCTCAACAATTTACTTGTATAGATTCAAGGTCTATCTATAGGACCAGCGCTTTATCTAAGATGCTTTTCTGGTCTGGTGCTTTTTCATATATGAAGGATTTATGTATATTCTATAAAATGTGGAGACTGGAAAAAAATCAATATAAAATGAAATCTAAATTTGAAAGACAAAAATATTAAGAAACTTGAGGCAATTTTTATGCATCTCAAGTGACTTTCATTTATAAAGAGGCAATTATCACTAACAGGAAGTAGACTACTTGGTGCTGTCAATGTCCCCATCCCTTTGGGTATCAGCTCATAAACACTTCACCACAGCAACAATTGGTAATACCCCTCAAAGATAAACATTTCCTTGTCACTATACTTAGGATGAAGACCAATAAAGTTGTGGCTGAAAAGGATACACTGTCTTGCCATGGAATTAGTAAGAGTTCACCGTATTAACGAGTGGTGATGGAAGTATCTTTACTGTGGTAACGGCAATCTGAAGCACATACGTTTTGCATTGCCAGTCATTTGCACTAAACAAGCCCCGGCTCTTCTCTGCCAGTGTCTTTCCTATTTCTGTGCCCCCAGCTTTCATCATCTTGGCCTCAGTTGTTTTCTCTCGACCACATCTGTTACAGCTTGTTCTCCTAGCGAAGTTCACATTTCCGCACCTGCAGATAAAATGAGAAGCACGTAAAGAAGTGATTCCTAAATATTAAAACTGTCTTACTACACCCTAGAACACAGAACAAGCTTACCCCATCATCTTCATCAGCATCGTTTGAGAGAAACAAGGACTGGATAAAAATCTCAACCTTGTATTTTCAACGACAGTAACCACTTCGGGATTGAAACCTTTCAACTCTAGACTAGCACGTGTCATTAGCTACACTAAACTCCCCTGTCCCAAAGTGCCACCTGACTCTTCCTCAACAACTAAGGTACCAGAGATGGAAAAAGAACACCGAATCAACTCTCAGTTAAAGCTGTGATGAACTTTAGAAGCACAATCCTAGGGACGGACCCACCAGGAAACAACAGGGGTTCCGGAGAACTGATGAAATGTCCTTTCAGAGGTAGGATGTGGGATGATAAAAAAAAAAAAAAAAAAAAAAAAACAGGCTATGTTAACTAAAAGTATACACTAAACAGTTAAGAAATTTAAGTAGTATAGTGTTTATCAAACCTAAAACATATCGGAAACCAAATCAAACCACGACCAATGAAGTCAAACCTTATATTAAACACTAAAGGTTTTATATTTTATACACTTACATGACCTTACTGATTACCAATTAATGCATGTTAGATACTCCAAATAGCATTTAATGTTTAAATTATGAAAAACAAGGGACTACCCGATTTAAAAAAAATGAATGTCAATGGAAGTGTAACACTAAACTGAACGGCACCATCCAACTTTTAGGTTGCTCTTCTGTTAAAAGATCCAAGTAACCCTGAAAATATGTTCTGAAAAAAAATGTTTCCCTGACTTATATATTCAGTAGAACTAACATTTTGTTTCTGTCAATGAGTTTAGGTGCACAGAACTACGAACGAAGTGTCCTCCCGAAATATCTGGGCTGGGTTTTCAGTAAGAACACAGAGAGCACATTTTCTACAAGTCACGCAAGGCACCAAGTCAGAAGCTGGTGTCCTGATCTCTGAATGGTTCCAAAGTGTCACGCCGTTCCCTGCAATGTCCAAGAGGACCTCGGTTCTACTCTGCTAGACGGTTATCAATCAGGTGAATGTGAGCGTCGTCATTTCCTTGCTCTCCACTCACACTACCTATGTTATTTCGGTGTTTAACTGTAAGCGAGCGGAGGGGCTTCAAGTTAGACGCTCGGTAGCGGAGAGAACTGGCAGGGCACCCGGGCTTCCTCCAGCTTTGGCTCTGGTTAAGAGCACGAGCTGGTACATCCCGGAAGATTTCCACCGCCACCAGCCGAGCACTCCGGCTTCACAGCCACGTACGCGCCCGGGCCTCTGCCTCCGGGAAGGAGGGTGCGGGGGAAAAAAAAAAAAAAGCCAAAGTCACTGGAAAGGCTCGGCAGGCCCGAGAGCAGCCCCGGCGGCTCCCGGGCGGGGACGGAGGTCGCAGCGCAGCGGCCAAGCTCGGAGGAGGGCGACCGAGCACAGAGCGCCGAGCTCCGGGCGGGGGTCACGTGCGGCCCGCCCGCGACCCGCTCAAGGCCGGCGGCGACCGTCCCGCCGTCCCCCACCCCCACCAAGGCCGTAAGCCCCGCCGCCGCCCCACAAGGGCCGTCCCCGGCCCCACGCCGCCCCGCCGCGCTCACTTCTTGTCCGGGCAGATCCAGTCCCCGTCACTGACTCGGAAATTCTTGGTCGACATCTTGGACGCCAGCAGCACAGCCGCCCGCAGCGACGTCCCCGACCGGAGCCGCGGGGCCTCGCGCCGGGCTGCCCGCGCGCCGCCGGACCCGCCCTCCGCTGTTGGGAGGGGGGACGGGGTCAGACGACGAAGGCCACCCGGGCCGCGAGCTTGCCGCCGCCGTGAAGAAACAACGCCCAAGACCCCGCCGCTCGGCCCGAGGCTCTGCCCCGAGGAGGCCTCGCCGCGTTCCGGATCAGGCGCTGAGGAGACAGTCCGACCTGGTGGCCATCGCGGCGTCGCGGGCGCGGCGGAGTGTCCCGTAGACTTAAAAGGACCCCGGAGCGATGCGCTTCCGTTTCCGGGGTGGGGCTAGGGTCGCGGAGGCGGAAGTGACTCGGCGGGGCTCGGAAGCATGGGCTTTGGCGTTGCCTAGGGTTCACTGGGGCGAGCGATAAGGTGGGCGGTTCGAGTCTTTGGAGAAGATATTTTGAGTTTTGAACAGGGTGTGAGACTAGTCCAGGGCGCCCTGGGTTTCACTGTGTCGTCCAGGCCGGCCCCGAACCTCCCTCAATCTTCCGTAGGCCACGTCATCACACCAGGTGTTTCTCCTGTTAGGTCCAGCTGGCTTCGAAATCTGCGTAGCCAGGCTGCTTAATATTTTACTAGAAAAGTCGTTATTAATAAACGAAAGCAACTCTCTTCTTTGGGATGTTGTTTAAAAACTTAGCTTTTAAAATATGTAATCTGTAAGGGATATGCCTGGCACAGGCTTATCGAAAGGGAGCTATCCGAAGGTTTTTAGAAATAGGACATTGCCAGTAGTGGTAACGATTACCGGTGTCTTCTGATGCTACCCCACTACCGCTCTCCAGTCTTAACGCTGGCCCTTACTTTAAATTTATTCTCTCGCTTTTTAAAAGATTTAGTTCATGCACCGTATGCTTTTTTAAAAATGAGAAATAGGAGTAATTTGCTGTTAGGGTAGTTTATAGTTCGGCATGGTTTCTGAGTCTGCAGGTCGTTGCACGTTGCTTACCTTTGTTTCAGTTACCCGTTACAGCTGCCACGTCTTTGTGACAGTTAACTCCCCAACCCCACCCACACCTTGTTGCTGTAATTAACCCTCATGTGAACATTCTTAAGCTAACCCCCACGCCACTGTAATCAGCACACGTGAACATTCTTAATGCACGAATTCTGCTACTTACATGAGAAAGGTTTTCTAGCATGTAGCTTATGTCTAGGAGAAAAACTGTTAAGCTACTTTTTGGTTTTAATGTCTACACCTTTGATAATTGTAATATCTTGATCATCTCAGTTGAAAACTGTTGGTTATCTTTTTATTTTGACAGTTGTTCACATCTTCCCAGTTATTTTGTATTGTATAACCACTGATTTTTTTCCTGATTTTTTAATCCTAGGTAATGTGGAATTTTTATTTTCTTTTAGCAAGCAATCCTTGCGTTGGCATCACAGGCTCAGTCTTGCGTGTGAGTACTGGTTCTATATCAGTTGACTCCTCTGAGTATTGCTGTGCTTTAAAAAAAAACCATTTTTACATGTATGGGTGTTTCGTTTGCATGTATGTCTGTGTAACGCATGCATGCTGGGTGCCCTCAGGTCAGGAGTAGGCGTGAATCCCCTGGAACTGGAGTTCCAGAAGGTTCTGAGCTCAGAGCCGTCAGTACTCTGAACCACTCACCGAGCTGTCTCTTCAGCCGGTGCTGTGCTGTTCTCTTGAGTCTCCTGTACCTTAGCACTTGGGTTGTTTGGGTACCTTAGCAGTACTTTCAGCTGTAGTTTATTACATGAATCATTCCCATGCTGCTTTGATTTGTTCTGCACACATTCATATATGTGAGTGCATAACTTGAGTGAGTGTGAGTTCATACTAGATTTGGAGAACATGCTTTCCCATCCTTTTTTTTTTTTTTTTTTTTTTTAGATTTTGCTCACATACTCTGTCTTGCAGTGTAATTTTTTTTCTGGTCATTTTGTGAGAAATAAAAGATTTCCCTTGAAGTTTTGGCAGCTTGTCATAACCTATAGCATTTGACCAGGGTCCTAATATAAGGTGAAGTGGTGAGGGAAAAGAGAAAGGTGTGGGATTTTTTTTTTCTCCACACTTAAGACTACAGAGATTTTCTTTCCTTGCTTTTATACAGAAATACAATTTCTCCTATACTCTCACTCTTTGGATAGGAGGAGAGCTGTGAAACAGTTTAGTATTTCCTTACAAACTGGTAGCTCACAAATGTGTCTTTCCCCAGTTCATATGGCTAGAAAAAGAGAATTAATTATTACAGATTGTGCTATTACTACAGACTTACTAGCTGCCAAGTCAGCTACAAGAGAGAAAAGGAAATGAAGCAACTGTCAACGAACCCATACCACTAAGTTCCGGTCCTCTCTGCTGCTATTTGTCCATTTTTATTTCCTTCTTGGTGCCCTCAGATAAGGAAGGGCTTTGAGTATTTTATCCAGGTTTTCCTTGTGATCAATGGGAAAGAGAATTAACAGTGGGCCTGCCCCATCCTCTGTTACAAATTAAACCATAATGAGGTGCTAGTACCCGTCTATCAAAGTGAACAAAGGAAAGCTCAGGTAGTCCAGGGGTTAGGATGACTAGAGTTCCCATGGACTGCAGGCTGTGTGTTCCTTCACATGGTACCCAGGGTAGTAACAGTGAGATAGCATGAAGGTGGAGGACTTAACTCCACCTTGTACAGTGTACAGTGTTGCTAAGCTATGGTGTTCAGTCAGTTAGGTATAGTCAATGTGTTTTCAGCTTACAATTGGTTTGTTATATGATATTTTCAATCCAGTGAACTTTATGCAACCTCAGAACAAGTCAAGTAGCATTTTTTTTTCCTCTGGAAAATACTTGTCACACTCTACTAAAATCTGAACAAATGCATGCACTATGACCCTGAAACTCCTCAGGGTGTTCCCTAAGCCCTGCAAATATTTATACTGGAGATGCAAGTAACAGTGTTCATAACTTCATTATTCATGATGTTCCCAGTTGGAAGTTTTCTGCCGTTCTAATGGTAGCCAGAGTAAAGAAATAATCATACAGTTGTTTAGTGAACTACAACATGCAGCAGTAAGAGTGACATTGAAGCCACATTGAATACTGATTGTAACCCGAAATACAACATTGAACTGGTAAATCCAGACACAAAATGGAAAAGTCTACATCATTCCATTTATGTTAATTTCAGTAACTTCAGAGTTAGTCTCCCACAGTGCTTACCATCGAGAACTGGAGATAGTGACTGGGGCTAGTAAAATGGCATGCAGTTACTGGAATAAAGGAGGGAGTGTAGCTGGTAAGGCTCTGGGAGAGTCAAATCAGAAAAGTGGAGACGGATTTTTCTGCCCCTCCTGCCAGCTCCCAGATCACAACATGAGACCTTGTTAATTATAAGCGTTCACCCAATAGCTTAGGCTTGTAACTAACTAGCTCTTACAACGTAATTCATTTTTATCTATCTTTTTGTCTTGTGGCTTTATTACCTTTACTCTGTCCTGCCCGCGCTGCTTCCTTTTCATCTGGCTGGCGACTCCCCCCTTCGTCTTTCCAGTGTCCTGTGTGTCTGAAAATCCTGCCTAACTGTTGGCTGTTTAGCTTTCTATTAAACCAATGAGAACGACACATCTTCACAGTGTACAAAAGGATTACTCCACGACAGAAGAGTCCTTTACAGTGAGTCTGGGATAGAATAAGTACAGTTGAAGTGTATGTCTGCCATAACTGCAGCAGGTGAGTTCAAAGACCATAGGGGGCTTTTCAGGGAGGGCCATTCCTAGAGTAGAAAGTGAATTTCTTTGTATTAACATGAAAGAAAAACCCAACTACCCATTATTTTTATTATAATTTTTTGATTAGTAATTTTGTCCCATCTCCTGGGTACACTTGACCTATCATGGTCAAACATTCAGAGTGAATTATCCATGCAAGTTACTCATACATGAAGCTATACTTATTGATTGATAAATAATCATGCAGACAAGCAAATCTTGGTCCCTAAGAGGTTAATCAGGTATGGTGGACACATCTGAGATTGTGAACTTACATAATAAAAAAACCTGTCTTTACTCTGTTAGGGCTCTCTCTACTTGCCAAGAACCAACATCAGAATATATGCTTTAACCCCTGCCCCCAAAGCCAAACCAAAACAGACAAAAGAGCTGGGGAGGTGTGTTGTAAAAGGTAGTCTCGTGGAATGTTGAGGCAGAAGTATCCTCAGGTCTGAAAAGGGCTAAGAGAAGCTCCTGTGTTTCAATAACACATTCATCTAAGACAACTGTTTCCGTCTTTAGTTTACAGGATTCTCAGGCTGCACTACGATGCTTAGACCTGAGCAAGCAGGCTTTTAGCTTGTCCTGACCCCATGTGCGCTTTGGAAAACCTTCCTTGTAGAGATCCCGGTCTCCTGTGTCTTGGGCCACACTAAACTTGGTCCTGTGTGGCTCCTATGTCTTTCATTACCCATGGTGGTAGTGATGGGGCACTTAGGTTGTGAGGTTCTCCGGATGCTCTCTTGTGTATGGTTCCAGCAGAAGGTCCGTAAGCTCTGGGGCTGGCTTCTGTGAGGTGAACTAGCGACCTATGGCCATGGCAGGCCCTGGAGGGAGGCTTGATTAAAATTCCCACTGACCAGGGCAGAAGTTTTTTTTTTTTTTATTTGGTGGGATCATACAAGTTTGGACCACTGAAATGGTGCTGATTGACTGATTGATAAGTGATATATTAAGAGGAGCGTATAGTGGGCAGGCCACAATACACTTTCCGTGAAACACGATTAATAAAAACTCAGAGGCTGTAATCAGGGTTCAACCTGAAGATCCAAAAAGCAAAACAGCCAGCCACTGGCTCTTACCTCAACCTTAGTCCGAAATGGCAATCCTGCCTCCAGTAATCTCAGAAGCAGACTATGAGTGAAAGCTGTCTCCTCCCGTTTTACAGTCCTCTCTAGGTCTTAGATTAAAGGAGTGCACCACAGTTTCAATGGCAGACTAGTGTGGCTATTGGGATTAAAGGTGTGTGTCACATTGCCTGGTCTGTAAGGCTGACCAGTAAGGCTGTTTTACTCTCTGATCCTCAGGCAAGCTTTATTAAAATACAAATGATCTTTGGACCTGAAGTCACCTTTGTGAGGTTGTGTGGACTCTCCTCTTTCCCCAAGGGGAATACAGGTAGTCATAGATCCCTTTTAATTTGCCCCTGCTGCCATTATTTCTACATCCAGGGCTGCAAGTGGCATGCTGGGTAGCATTTTTTTTAATGGTTTTTCTTGTCTCTTCCCAGGGCTCTTCCTGACTGTGGTAGTGCACAATCAGCTTGCCCCTTTCAGCCATACCTTTTCTTGCTTTTAATTGACACAGTATCTCCCTGCTCTCCTAGGTGGTTGAAAGTCTTGTTTAAATGATGGGCATTGCTTACCTCAATGAGAAAGTGCTTCCTCACCTGCCTAGGGCCCCTCACCTGTCCTTACTGCTGGTAACTGTGGAGAGAGCCAGGCTCCCAGTTGGCACTGCAGTATTCAAATTCCAGGGTTGCCGTGAGGAAGGCCCAGAAGGGTCAGAAGACGATGTGGATGGAAGATGGACTGCCCTGTAAATGTAAATGCTACACATTCTATAAAGACCAACAATTATGTTTTCTTCCATTTTATGGTGACACTTGTGTTTGCGGTCCTCCTCCACAAGTTCCTTGACAGTGTTCTGGAGGCCACTGTAAAGTGGCTCACAGACTGCACAGTGGATGTTGTGGGGTATGTGTAGTGACTCAGTAGGCACCAAGCAGATGGCATCAGAGAACCCAAGAGGCAAAGCAGCCGTACTGTCTAACTAAGAGACTGTAAGAGGGTGTCACTGGATAACACTGTCACCATCTTCTCCTTGCAGTAAGAGCTGTGAGATTAACCAGGAATGGTATTTCCGACAAAAATATAAACAGGTTCCTTCTGGGAATGGGGAAAATTTTCATGTGTACTGACTCAATAAATAGAATAGCCAAGCAATGTGTTTTTCTTACCCCACACATTTATCAACGAGTTGGCACACCTCAAGTGGGCCCTGTAGCTTGTAATTACTTTTATAATCAAATTGTTGTTAGAGAGAGCTCCTCCCAATGTCTTGGATGTCCTCATAGTATTGCTGGGCAAGGCACTTCTGCTAAACAGTCTGCACTTCAGACCCCAGTGAGTATCTTCCCTGTAGCTATATTTCCAAAGGTTCTGCTTGCTCTGGTTGGTTTCTGTGTGCACCTGTGACCCAGTTGGTTATGGTATTCAGGGCCATGATAGCCTCTAGGCAGTGCCATTTGGGAAAAACTACACAGGGAGAGGTAGCTTGTTTTGTTTTAATTAATTGATCTTTGTGTTTGTGTGCTGAATAGCAACTTAACACAAAATTAGCTCAAAAATTTAATCTCAGTTTATGTGACTGAGAAGGTTGGGAGGGGCTTAGTTGGTTTTTCTGCTCAGTGTTTCACCGTGCCGCGATCAAGCCGGCTGCAGCAGCTGTGCTGGCGGCAAAGTCATGGATGAGCAGCTATCTCATGTGTTTGTGCCCCACATTGGGCACAAGGTGATGTGCTTATCTAATTATCCTTATCAATAAAAGACCAGGAGTCAGATATCAGGTAAGAACCCGAAAGATCAGAGAAGCAGCGGAGCAGCTCCCAGAGGCTTCCTACCTCTTCCATCCCTTCCTCTAAAAAGGGCAGAAATCTTCCCTAAGCCCTGCCTTAACTACTTCTTCAGGCCTCTAAAACCTCTGAGGTTAACCTTAGTCAGCTAGTGGCTAACTCTGCCCTCTGATTCAAAGCAAACTTTGTCAGAATGCAATCAAAACATCACACTACAGTGTAGATTTGTAGTTGCAATCCCAGCTGAAGCTTGGAGTCTTTTTCTGAGCTATTCTGGTTTTTGGTTTTGTAGAACTCTGAATACTGAGGTCATCGTTTTCTTTGCAGATTCTGGCCAGGGCTTTCTCGCAGCTCCTAGAGACGGACCTCAGCCGTGCATCATGTGGCCCTCTGAAAGCATGGAGCTTATTGCTCCGAAGCCAACAGGAGAGCTTCTCCCAATTCTGCTACTACTGCTGTTGCAGCTGCTTACAACAGCTATTATTGTTGCTAGAGTCTTATATTCAATGTGACATCATAGGCGAAATGATTCTATTCTGTTTGCTGTACTACATAACCTAATAAAAGAAGGGACATCCCGTTATACTAAGTGCGTCAGGAATCTTAAGAGCCATTTTTAGGTCTCACTAGCCATGGTTCTTGAATGGGTAACTGCTGTCAGCACATGAAATCCTTCTTAAACAGGTTGTCTGCCTTTTTTTGACATTCTTTTGGGAACAGCCACTAATTTATTAGTGTACTTAAAAAGTATGAATTTCCAATGTGAATCTACATCGACACTCATGTCTCACAGACTTCAAAGGGACATCTCTGAGCATGTTTTGTCATACTGAGTTTTCCTTACAATTTAAAATAAATGTACTCTAAGAAATGATTAAACAGTGTGTATTTAATATAATTTATAACTGACATTTCAGAAAGTCAGTGATAGGAGACTGGGATGCACTCACATGCACACATACTTCATAACCCTTCAACTTAACAGCGTTTTCTTATTCTGTAGGAATCATTGGTGGAATTTATTTGCCAGCTGGTGTTTCAGAGTCCTTTATAAATTAATTATAGTATTTACTAGCCGTGTGGAGGTGAAGAGATCTAATTAGGTCAAGGAGCCTGGCCCTGCTGGAGACCCAAAAGCAAAGCCGGCAAGGTGTCAGCTGCAGATCCCTGTTGTGCTCTCGTGAGTACATGTTTAGAGGTGGGTAGTGGAACAGCAGAAAGGATATGTAAAAGTTTATAATAAAAATAGTTTTGATGAAAATTATTGAAGCTCGGGCGATGGTGGCACACACCTTTAATCCCAGCACTCGGGAGGCAGAGGCAGGCAGATCTCTGTGAGTTCAAGACCAGCCTGGTCTACAGAGCTAGTTCCAGGACAGGCTCCAAAGCCACAGAGAAACCCTGTCTCGAAAAACCAAAATAAATAAATAAATAGAAAATTATTGAAGCTGTCCATCAGTAAATGAACAAACAGACAAAATTCGAAAACCTTTTCGCTGACCAAAGCCTTCTCAGGTGTTCTATTACAGTGTAAGAACTGGATGTACAATGTTAAACGCATAGCCATGAATTTATTCCCTTGGTCAGTGAACAAAGCTGGTTGTGGTAGGTAAAGAGGATTGTATCACAGTCTCCTAAAGGAGCACAAAGGTGGCAAACACGTCTGTATAAGCATGAGAGAACTGGATTTTAGGCAGACTTAAGGGTAGGGGAGGTAAAAGCATTGATGTTACTCCATCACAAGTGTCAGAACTTAATCAGACAAACTTTAAAGGGTTGGGAAAGGAGCGAGGTCACAAGAACACAGAGCAGGAGTGAGCCTGGGGTGCTGATCCTGGAGGCATTGCCTGGTTGCTGAGCCTTTTCCCACAGTTCCCATGCTCTTCCTCTATTCATTCTCTCTCTCTCTCTCTCTCTCTCTCTCTCTCTCTCTCTCTCTCTCTCTCTCTCTCTCTATGAGAGACCTTTGAGAAAACTCATTCATAGTGATGTAAATAACCTAGTTTAGTATTTACATTCTTATAAGGGATTTCCAAGTTACCAGAAATAAAACCTCAAAATCAAAACCCTCAAAATTTACTGGGGCCTGTCGTCAATATAAATGAACGGCCAAGGGCCCGATTAAGACACTGGGGAGTGAGGGGGACTGTGACAGACTATTTGAGGACATGAAAACCTGAAAACAAATGCTGTTTCACCTGAAGCAAAAGTGCCTGCTAGATGATTATATCAGGCTAGTAGTTGCCCCTGTATCTTGCCTTTAAAGTTATGTTTCTAATTTTGTGGTAAAGAAACAGATCCAAGAAGAGGAGACAGTGTGTCAAGCCCTGCACACAATATTTTTCCTTCACCTGATCTGTTGCGGGGAGGTTCTGGCCAGCATCCCCCCAGCTCACTGTCTCACAGGCCCCCAGTGTCTGGCCCACCTTCCTGTCTATTACTGCTATTTGTTTTTCGTTTGCTGTAACCTGAGAGCATCAGAACAGATATGGAGACTTTTTACAGACAGAAACTACAGGAAATAGATGAACTAACTGTAGGGGTTCACACCATCAGCGCTCTCCAGCTTCTTGTCTGTGAGGAGCTGTGTGGTCAGCTCCCGTTGAGACCCTGCCTGCTCTAGCATCTCCAGGCAGTTCACACTTCTTTAGCCTCAGGCACAGTTTTGGATTTCGGGGCCCATGAAGCACAGTCAGAATATCTAGTCCCCTAATGAGGAAGAGGAAAATTAGCTTCTCCATAGGCCATTCACTTTCTTTCCTAGAAGGGCACCCTAGGGAAAAGAAAAGCAAGCTGATAGCCTGGTTGAATCCTTTGGTCAACAGAAAACCAGCTAAATGGAAAAATAGTTTTAAAAAGGAGGTTTTTATCTTGTTTTTCTTTTTTCTTTTCTTTTTTATTTTCAAGACAGGGTTTCTCTGTGGCTTTGGAGCCTGTCCTGGAACTAGCTCTTGTAGACCAGGCTGGTCTCGAACTCGCAGAGATCCGCCTGCCTCTGCCTCCCGAGTGCTGGGATTAAAGGCATGCGCCACCACCGCCCAGCCTTGTCTTGTTTTTCTAACACCATCCTGAAGGGGTCCCCTGGAGCAAGGATTAGTGGATTTCTGAATTTAGCTTTGCATAAGTCAGGTCTGCTCACTGGATGTTCTAGTCACACGGACCAAGTTTGAGTATTTTCTTTTTGTACAGGATTCTGCAACTTGGGACCACAAGTTCTGATTAATATTACAATGGCATTTTATATTGGCTGCACCGAGAGAGTCTAAGGACTTAGGACTTAGTAGCCTGCTAGGCAGGAATGGCTCTCAGGTGATTCTGTGATCTGAAGACTATATATATCGTAAATATTTCCTGAAACAGTGGGCACATATCAGATCTAATTCACACATAACCATTATTGAATTTTAAACAAGATTGCAGGCATTATAGTAATATTTTAAGCATCTTACTCTATCTACTTATGAAGGAATATTCTGCCTTATTCTTTTGCTAGATTTACTTTATGTGTGAACTTATTTGGGACTGTGCGACCAGGTCATAGGGTGTTTTATAAATTTGTCTTTGATTTAGGAAGCAAAACTCTAACAACTACTTTTAAAAAATATTTTAATTGTCTATGTGTGTATCTCCAGTTCCTCATAGACAGGGAATGAGTTTTATGTCCATAATTGGAACATAGTTGGTGCTCAATACTTTTGAAACACAAAAAGAGAAGAATTTTTTTAACCATTACTGACATGTACAAATCTTTCTGTACAGCCAAGGTTTCCTTCACTGTCTTCCAAATGTGCATAATTATTTTACTTGGTATGAAGCAAGCTGAAACATTTGCAGCAGTGAGCTGGCTCGCTCACACTGTCCCATAGTTTGGTCAGTGATGAAAATCCTGGCACTTTGGATCTAGAGAGCTCGTTCTGCCTCCTGATAGCCTTGCAGCCACAGCCTCCTTGCCTGGCTACAGGAGTGGATAAACCCTGTTCTCAGTAGTGAGAACTGTCTGTAGAACTGTTTGCTGGGGATCATCTAGACACAGTCAAGTAACAGCCAGGTAAGTGCCTGTTCTGTGGTCACAGTCATTGTTATTTCTAGACCTCATGCTCATCAAAGTGAAATGGAGACAATACTCTTTAAGTGTGTGGATTTTAAATGAGTAATTCTCGTGAAATGCCTGGCAGCAACACACTATTAACAATTTTAATAACCAAAATAGGAGTGTTGAATATTTAGTATAGCACACGCTCAGTAATAACCCCTGTAATATTTGTGTTAACAGGTAGACATCTGTACCAATCTGTTTGGATTCTAACCCATTGTTTGAGTGACTGATCCTGATCAGGTTATATAATGTCTCAGGATCATATGTAATAAAAAGAGAATAATGATAGCATCCGCTTCCTAATGTGGTTTGAGGTTTCATTGCCAAGGTCCCTCTAAAGTAATAAAGGCAACAGCAGGCGAACAGCACACAGCCAATAAACCTGAGCTGCCGGTACCTCTCTCAGCGTCAGCCCCTGCCAGTGGAGAAAGTGATTACGTCTGCTTGTCCGGGCTGAAGTGTGGTAGAATCTGATGGTGCTCATGGAAATAGCTAGTCAGTGGTGGGCACCCGATAAATGCTGGCTTTCTTTTCCTGTTTTTGATTCAGTAGACAACACAGAAGTTTATGATGCTTTGGGGTTACAGTATGAATGCCAACCTCATCTGTGTGTGATTACAGGACAGAAAAGACAGATGGAATTTTACCAGTGACAAGTATTAAACACTGTTCACTCAATGGACTATTTCATTGTCTGGTTTTCTTCTCAAAGTGGCTTCATCAGGAATATCCAGTAATTCTTAATTCTTTTGATTCTGGTCACAGATAGGGTGATTTACTCTCTGCAAAGAAAGATGGAGAAATAGGTTATTTTTCAAGTTTTTGGTGGCAAACCTTGACTCACAGCCTGCAGGAGCTGCAGGAAGGTGCTGTCAATCACAGGGTAGTCAGGGAGCTCAGGACTCATTACTTCTGGTTTACTTCCAAGACTTACACCCGCAGCTTCCTAATGAGCATGCCCTTTGGAGACAGCTGGCACTCTGCAAGGTGCACGCCTCGCTGAGCTGCTTCTTGTTTCAACTAACTTGTCTTCATGGCTCTGTTGGTCAAAGTCTTAAATGATGTGAGAGCCTTTGCTAAGGCTATAATTGGCTGAAACAGTTTTTAACTGGTCTACAGGAGCACACACTGATGGACCTGGTCTTCAGAAGCACACATTGCTGGACAAAGAATGGCAGGATTCGGGATAGTGTTAACAAAGAGCTTGGGGGGCGGGGGGATCTTCAAGGCGTTCATTGAAGAGAGAAGTTTATAGCAGATAATAAGATGTGATAGGCAAGAAGTCCAGCAGGTGGCAGCTTAGTAACATATAATCACAGGTCGTTGTGGGTGTTCAGGACTTTAGAAAAATCTCAAACTATGTATCTTAAACAGTGCGTATTTATTGTAAGTTTGTGTGTGTGTGTAAAAGTTAGCACATACCATCTCTGCCTATGATCTATGCTAGTTTAGAAAATCAGAATTGTCATGAGAAGTAACCCAGCTGAAGGGACATTGACATTTTCTGGGATTTTCTACTGTATTTAAACTAACATTCCATTATTTTGAAGCACATATATGCATTTTCCATGCTCAAAAAGATGGCTGACTTGAAATCATTTCTCAAGTAAAATGACATTGCAACCAACAATTGATCACTTTGAGAACTTGTCTGTAATTTTAGTACTTCACACATATTTTCTTTTAACAGTTAAGGTATTCAGGAAACTAAGGGATACAGCGAAAGAAGCTGAGACGCTTAGGGCAGCAAAATGAGAAGGCAGCTTTCCCAACAAGTTTTGGATA